TCACGAGGCAAATATCAATGATAACACGCAATAACACGACCTGGATTTTTTGTGAAGAGCGTGTTACACAGGAATAATTCTATCACGTTGGCCGCCATGTGAAGGTGCTGCGAATAACGGAATAAAAATCAGTCACAAGTCATGTTTTGTAAGGTGCCATGCTATTTTAGATTTATTTTATACCTAGCTATTCCCGTGCGAATTCATCCGCATGACATTATGAAAATTCAATTTTATTGTTTACTTTTGTCAAATTATCAATAGCAAATGTCAAAATGACATGACATGACAAACCTTAGCAATCTTACTTTCTTGATGTTGGCAGCAACTTATGGTCTCTTTCCCACATTAAGATTTTTATCCAATTCATCTACCCTCTAAGTTTAATGGCGTGAAAATATATAGCCTTAAGCGTGACGTAAGTGTGAGGCTTGATATAAAAGAAATAATTATTCAAAAATATGCTGTGATTGCTGAAAATTGCTGACACAAAGTAGTGTGTGTTTACGCTTTATTATATTAGTATAGATATCAAAACTAGTTTCAATAAGAAGCTAAAGTCATTTAAATATCGTCTTAAATGATTAAGCCACGTTTAAACTCCAAATTCCAATTAAATTTTGATGTCTGTTAGATTGTAAACGGCGCTAACGAAGCGAAAGGTTAAAGATTCGTTTCAGTATTCAAAGTACCGCCTAAAAGGCTATATGCAGATGTAGCCTTTTAGCCTTTCAGCAGTGATGTGATATTTTTAAAAATATGAAACGTTATGATTTTTTTTTAAACTATTAATTCTCAGAAATTAATAAAAACTACGAAAAACCCTCCAATAAATATTACAATTATTAGGTAGCTATCTTTTATCACATTATAAAACATCAATAAAATTAAAACTAGGAAAAAAAGTAATTGTCCGTCTTTAGCATATTTTACGATGCGATAAAGTTGCATAAAAACTTTGAGGAAAAAGAAACTGTTCATCATTTATGCTCCGTTTCTGAAGTTCCCATATATTTTGTGATTGTCTATTGATTTAATAGTGTTAGGTTGATCTGTTTCAAAGGAGTAAAACTCAAATTACGTATTTCTGATACGCATTACATTAATTTATTAAATTAAAAACTCAAACGTATGGTTAAACGCAGCTGGAAAATAACTCAAAAATTCTTGCACCATTAAAAAACTACGTTATCAGTATACATAGGCTAAATTATTCACTATTTTTAAATTCCACGCACACGAAGTCGCGAACAACAGCTAGTTTTTTAATTTAATTTTAGGCAACTAACTAAAAGTCATAGTATCCGAGTATAGGCATCTTTGTATCTAAGTATAGATTTAATTAGTCACATTAGTAAAGCAACGTGTAAATGATAAAAGAACCGTAAAGAGCGTGCACCGCGCACGTTGTGAGAGCACATTGTCAGCTGTGCGCCGGCAGCCCGCGCGCCCTGCAACGTGCAATGGAAACACACCACGACGCACAGAAATTAATATAAACGTCGCTACATTATCAATCTGATATTTGAAGCTTCTAAAAGTATATTTGACTGAAAACATTGTTATTTTAGAGTGACATCCTTTACATGGACTAGCTTTCGCCCGCGCCTCCGTGCGCGAGGAATTAAACAAAAAAAAAGTGAGTAGCCGATGTCTTCTTCCAGATTATTCTCTACGTCTGTGCAAAATTTCATAGAGATCCTTTCAGCCATTTAAGCTACAAACTCTATCAAACATAGGCTATGTGTTTTTATTATTTTTTTATTGCGGACGTAGTCGCGAGCAACAGCCAGTCTGTTATAAAAAATCACAAACACGGATAGCTAAAATAGTAACTAAAGTAAAAACTTATGTGTGCATTATACGTACGACACACAACGAGACAACGTGCTCGGAATATTTTCTGCAAAGTTAGCAACGTGCGATGAAATGACAACATTTGACATCACATACCAACACAGCTCTATAATAGTACTAGCTTTCGCCCGCGACTCCGTCCGCGTGAAATTAAAAAAACAAAAGTGAGCAACTTAAGTGTTCTTCCAGACAATCCTCTACATGTATGATAAACCGAATTTCATTGTAATCTGTTCAGCCATTTAGGCTACAAACTCTAACAAACATCCATCCATTTAAACTTTCTCATTTATAGTATTAGCATGGTTTGTCATAAATTTATACCAATGTTCAATAAATATATTTGTTTTTTTTTTAAATAAATAATTTAAATTATTAATTAATTTTTAGTTTTAAAATATTTCAAAAAGAAAATACAATTATTTTATCTGCACAGATAAATAACGGGTGTATCGTTTCATTGTGCCATGCATTTGTTTCGCGCTGGTCATATACGCGGGAACTCGCACACGTTGTGTACAGAACATGGCCGCAAACGTGATCTTATTATTTTAATTACATGCTGTAAACCCATGTCTTATAAAAACCTAATTGTTCATATCATTCTGGTATATCTGACACTAAGTACAACAATAAGAACTTTGTTTTTTTTTTTATTATATAATAATCTTATGGTTTTTGTAACATGTTTCGTTGATAACTAGCGAGCGTCTGTGACTTTGTCAAAACGTAATTAAAAAATAACCTCTAATATCCTTGCATACACTAGCTACCTTCCTGTTAAAATCGCCCAGCCATTTAGGAGGTTACCTGGAACAATTTCACCCTTGCAGACAGACAGACAGATAAAAAAAATGTATCGATTCTCCGTTATTAGCAACGCAAATACATGTTCACCAGCAGTCACCTCTAACTTAGGCTAAGACTTACATAGAGAGAGCTGTTGATAATTGACAGCGTAGCATTTGCCAGAACTATATAATGTAAGTAACTTCTTGCATTTAACTTTTTCGCCATCAATTAGTTTTAGCGATGTTTACTTTTCATACAACATTGCATCTAATAGAAAGGAGCTACGTACAAAAATTAAATCCCTAGTTATTTCATTCCATATCAAAAATTGTAGAAAATAACTGCCGTAATTAGCGGTATTTCAATACTTCTTGTAGATTTTTCGTAATAAATCTACACTTACTCCTATAGTGACCAGGCAATAAGACAGTATGAAATTAATATGGTTCCTAAATGCTGTAAATACAGTGTAGAAGTATGCAATAAAAATACATGCACAGTGTAATGTGTAACGTGACACATGCGACTTAACGTGTCTCGTGTCGTGAGCACCAACGTGTCCGCGGCCCGTCCTACCCGCATGCCCTTCCTTGCACCTAATTTGACTTACAACATATAGGTTTGTCAAAGGTAATTTTATGTGCAAGTAGTGTTTTAATATTATCAATACGATAGACGTTACGTTTTTAAATAACAAATATTTGGCTTATGTTTTAGAGAATAGTTACTCTATATCACGTAGCAATTTGAGTGAAAGTGATAACTACGTTTAGAGACCTGCACAAAATATTTTTTTATTCACTAATATGATTCTGTGGTACACAATCTGATTTTTTCCATATATCTTATTAGCGACTAAACATAACAACATAACAAAACTAACCCCATCGTTTTGGGCATAAAGAAAACAATTCGATTTGAACATGGAAATGTCCAAGTATGTGACGATCTTTATTCCATTGCGTATTAAGTGTACACTGATGAATCATTTGTAGCGTTTTGCGAAGACAGCTACACGTCATCTACAACGTGAGTAGTTTTTAATTACGACTCTTTGTGTATGACTTGTAACTCTACATTGAACAAGCGTTTATTGTTACAGTCGCTAACCAAACAGGCTACACTGGGTGATATTAAATCTAAAATAAGGGTAAATTCAGTAAGCTATTAACGACTGAGTACGGTTTAAAAAGTTTAGGGCTGTAAATCTCAGAGGCAGTCTAAAGCAAGTTCCTTCGTGCGGTGTTGTAACTTCTTAGTATCTACTTCAGAACTTCTTAGTCAAAATTGACATCTATGACGTCAACATAGTATTGATGGATTTGTGCGTTAAAATACAGATAAAAACTGTTTAATTAAACTCCTGTTTTAACTCTGACCGCCGCTAGTACATATGTCAACATTACATGTTTCATTATAAATATGTGTGAATACAATGTCGAAAGATAGATATCTTCTGCTAGTTAATGAAAGCTGGAAACCATATTTCTTATCATTATTTTTGATTGCACATCCATAAAAAGCATGATCATAAAACTCATTAATCGTCAGAAATAAGTTTGGAATAAATTATCAACAGCAACACGTGCGACACCATGCGTGTTGTGACCAATCCAACACGACTATCAAGGTAAAACTGATTGCCAGCTAAATGTTCTAATTAACTCCATAAAATAGGGAAAACGAGCTCTTAGTAATGTAACATATTTTATTTTTTTATGTTAGAATTGAACAGATAACTATTAATTACTCCGAAGTATGAAAAATTTGCATCTTGTAAATCGTAGTCCAGTCAAGCACCAGTAATATTTTTAGATTCAGATTAATTTAATTCTAATTTAATGACTGGCAGAAAACAACGCAACTCCGGTGGAATTGGCACTTTCCTTTGTTTCCAAGACTGAAGAAAATTAATTAAGACCCAGTTAGGGATAACGACAGAGATATAAGAATTTATTTTTTTTACTATTTTAAGTACAAACGAAGACTAACATATAATAATATACCGTAGAAATATGAAGTTGTGAAGCAAGGATGTCAGTGATACAGTTATCTCTTTTGGTCATGTATGGGAATATAGGAGTGAATGAGACAACAATGCGAGTTAGCTAATTTACACGCCGGAACTTAAATACAGGAAAACAATTCCCATAATGTACGGAACATGTTAAGTGATTTTGCATGATAGCTGCAATACAAATAAGAATCGTATTAGAATTTACGTTTACGATTGAATTATTTGAAAAATATAGGGTAATTCTGAATTTGTAGAGCAACACCACTTTCTATCTCGCTCTTTATGACGCGTGGCCAGACCGTTCGCCAGCAAGCCATCGATTTCCAACGTCGCGGATCGTCGTCAATTCTCCGCTCAGCACTCGAGCAACACGGACGTTTCGCGCAAAGCTAACAATCAACTGATTATTCAGTTCAGTGTTTTGTGAAACCAGCAAGCTGTGTTATTCAAAGAAAATGTGTGAAAAGAGAACGAGAAAAATTAAAAAAGGTAGGTCCGATTTAATTAGTTTTAGAATGAAGTATAATTTATAAATCTTGGACGAAGTTATTTTTCAACGTTCATGCACTGACCTACCGCAAACAATGACGTATCGAGTGAAATCATTTAGGATTATGTGAAAAACAAACTTGGACAGGAAAAACTGTTATTTTAAAATGACTTTTCATTTTTTTTTTAAATAAACACATGATAAAATTATATTTCTTACGATATCGCTATCATTTTCACGCACCGGGCTTAGATGATTAACTTAGTTCAAAATCTGTATAAAAATAGCGATGTTGATATTTTTTGTACTTATAGCTACATTGCTGCAGTTATAATCCCTTCAATTTCAGGAGATACTTCTAGAGATCATTATTCAATTCAACAAAAAATCTTACTTCTTAGTAATAAATGCGAAAGCTTAGACGGATGGAGGAATACATATAGAGCATAGTCTGGAAGAACTCATAGGCTATTCATTATTTTTTAATTCCGTACGGACGGAGACGCAGGCTATTACTAGTATAAGTAATCGCAAGTTTTTTGTTTTTATTTGTTTGTTGTTTGTTCAAATTTTTGTTTACTAACTGAACTATGTACTGAACTGACGTAACACAACATTGTTTACATTTTACAGCGTGGGAATGTGACTTTTACATTATCTACATAGTAATGTAATTGTAACTACGCGTTGTCAGTCTGGCCTTTTAGGTATTAATTTACCGTCAGAGTAAACAAAAGCAGTGTATGATTTCACTAGATTTATCGTAAACGCGTCAAATCGCGAGCCCTTGTAATACCAAGTGAGTAGCCAGCCTAAAGAGTTGCCTTTATTGTATAATCTGTGCTGATTCTATCTGGAGAGGTTGTACTTGATTGACCTCCGCCCCCGCAACGCTCGCCCCCGCACAAACCCACGTTTCGATCAATACGGTTACTTAATTTGTTTTGTATCAAGAGGCGGTATCTTATATGTGGAAGACTTATTACCATGCGACTCCATCCGTTTCTACGAATTACCGGTTTTCACAAAAGTTGGATAACACCAAAAGTACAGGCTTCCCAGTTCTTTCATATTTATTTTTTATTTCCTCTCCTACAAAGATAAGGAAAGGAAGGAACTAAATTTCAATGACTTGGATGTTTTTTTTAAGATAAAAAACAAAAAGGTTGCGTCATAAATTCATTTTATTATAATAAATATGCATATCATGAACGGAAGAAACATAACTCTATCGCAAAGGAACAGAATTGCATGCTTCCGGTTTAATATGATTATGCACTTCCGGTATCTGAATACATAGATAATATATTTTTCAATGGGAAATATAACTTGTGAATTAAGCTATGGTAGAAAAAAAAACAATAACTATTTACAAGTAAAAAGAAAAAAATACTAATTAGATTATGAAAAAGGTATATCATTTATTACAAAAATCTTTTCTTTCTCTATGGATTTCTTGTAATACAGTAAAATTAAATGCCTCGTTTTTTTAACAATTTCCTATAACCTAAAACTTACCATCATATTATTGTCCTTTCAATACCCGAAGGTTATTTTATACTTGTTTACAATTTGATAAATTAACATGAATACGTCAAATAACAATATCGTACATATGTTAATTAAATACAATTCACACATATTTACTATGTCATTAAAAAAACATGCCTTTGGTTCCAAAGTCATTCAATATAATAAATGGGCGCAACTTTTTTGTTTCTTATTCCATTTAAGTGTTTTATCCCGTTATTATCATTAGTATGGTCTTTTGCTGAAACTTCGTATCAATCATTAAACATTTGTCATTGTTTTATCATGAACATTAAGACCAAGAAACAGAGGCATTCGCAAATGTATCTAATATGCATATACTAATATAAAACAGTGTAAGCACACACTAATTCGTAGCTTAGGATGTCGGTAATCAAGGCACATTATTAAATAATTATTTCTTTAATAAAAAGCTATACACTTACGACACGCTTTAGGCTATATATTTTCACGCTATTTAACTTAGGGGGTAAATAAATTTGTAAAAATCTTCATGTGGGGGAAAGACTATAGTCTTTGCAATTGAGAATATGACAAATATAAACAAAAAAATAAAGTTTTTATGATTTCATGCGGCTAAAGTCGCACGGGAACAGCTAGTCTATTTAATGCGTATGGTACAAATATAGCCACTACTAAAATAACTGTTACGTATCCAGCACGTGTTTTGTAGATAAGATATGTTTTGTGTACAGTCACTGTCATTAAAAATATAACGTATACTCGAATTTTATCATCTTTCTCGGTTGTCACTTCGAGTAACGTTTAATAAAATAAAAAATATAAATAAGTAAGAGATTAGAGTAATGACAATATTACGCTACGGATTGTAAAATTATGGTATGATAAAACCTTAATTTAAATAGGTAGCAGTTAGGACAACCTAGATATGTAAAATTTGGCTGCACTCAATGACCCAGAAAGATCTGTCAAGTTTGTGCGAAATGCAAGTTCGTTAGGTCTTGTCTATAGTTCAATGCTTTTATAATCGCAGTACTAGATTGTATATAGAAAAATTAACATAGAGTTGAGTAAAAAAACGAAATAAGAATTAGGCATCAAAATATGTTTGTTATTACGAGTATATACCTAATTGAAATTAAAGATATCTCAAATCGTATTATGCTATTGTAAGAACTCATAAAACATTGATACAAAACCGATCTAGAACTCTCCATATGGGAAATAAAATAGCAATAAAAAAATGTTGCATAAACGAAATTGTGTTTTATGTAATAGCAATTACTGACTGCAGGCATCCTTGCACAAATTTCCCAACGTAATGGTCACGTGGCCACACACCCGCGTGTTGTTTTTGTTGATGGTCAGTTTTTGAACGCATACGATACAATAACGTGACTGCATCATGCATCATCGTTCATTGTTTATATAAGTTTTTTAGCTGTTGAAAAAGGGAATTACGTCTAATTCAATAGATATTATGTCATACTTGTAAACGTAATTATTCGTTCATTTCAATTTATGGAAATATTTTAATTAATCACATTTGAAATTGTCAAAAACTTTATACATGTTAAATTATTTTTAAGGAATACCTAAAAATCTCGTTTGCTTTAAGTCATCATTATTTATTAAAACTATTAATCATAAATTTTAATTGTAACATTTTCATTAAAACCTCAACGATATTATTTATAGACTTTGACGCTTAAATTTAGTTGTAGTTTTTTCCTCTTCTAATTTTACCGTTGTTCACCGGTTAATGTCCTAATCATTAACCCAACATGCAGCTAACTGTACATGTGAATATTCACAAAGACAAAAAGTTTCACCTCGCAACTTCACTCGGTGTAAATATAATTATTTTGATTTAGTTACATTAGAATATTCTAGCCTGTAATTTTTTACTGTCAAGCACAAATATAGAAAATACTAGCTTTTGCCCTCGACTCCGTCGCGTGAAATTAAAAAAAAATAAAAGTGAGTAGCCTATGTGTTTTTCCAGACTATCCTCTACGTCTATGCCAAATTTCATCGAGATTCGTTCAGCCGTTTAGGCTACAAACTCTTACAAACATTCATCCATCTAAACTTTCGCATTTATAATATTAGTAAGATAATGACGTCAAACAGTTATAACATCACATCATGTTTTTTTTATATTTTCACAGTCGAAACTGCATTCGTAGTAGTAACTAAATAAATTATGGCTTATACATAGTGTAGACACATGTAGCAAGATAATTGCATCAAGTTGCAGTAGAGAGCGGTGTTTAATTACGAGACATGGCGTAAGAGCCCACGTGACTCCACTGTCATGTGAATTCCACAGTTCAACGTTCGTGTCATTGCACCGGTGGGAACGCGGAATTATCATATTCGCGATATAATGCAAGTGAGAGGCTTTTGATCGTATCGATGCGTATTACTGTGATTAAATATCCTCAAAGAACATCTTACCATCTCACTTCTTACTAATGTTATAAATGCAGAAGTTTAGATGGACGGATGGATGGATGTTTATTACTAAGTCCCCAGAACAGCTAAACGGATCTTGATAAATTTGGCGGAACTTAGCCAGGAAGAACTCTTCGCGTTTCTTATTTATACGCTAACAAATCAATTCAATCTTGTTTCAGGATCACAATTGGCCCGCGTTCGCGAGGCCAGACGCACCCAGCGGATCAATTGGCTCGCGTCCTACACCGCAAGAAGTAGCATCCCCAATCCAACACCATGCCCCGCTATGGATGCACGAAAAACCGCACAAAACCGCGTCATACTCGAACTAGCGTGGAAAACAGTCGCACTGATGCACAAAAATAGACTGATTCAACAAAAAATCATCGCCCTGCAGAAAGAAACATCAGAATTCGTCGCCGCTATGATGAACAATCCTGACAATAGACGACGCTATATGGAACAGATAAGCCTTGTAGATGCTCAGCGTGAAAACATCGATGCTATCAGACCCGTAAAAATCGAGCCAGATGTGTAAATGATAGGAGTGAATGATTGGAACTTTAAGAGTGAATGAACGGTGAAACCTGATTGTGATCTGCGAATTATATTCGTGCTTTGATCTAATTTTAACGTATATTTATTATAATAAGACTTGTTATTTGAATCTTTCTCACTAGGGCTGATCGATATTGTAAGGGAATCGATTATATACCATGAAAAATCCTCATGAGACATATTTAATCGAATCGAACTCATACGATATTTGTTGTAAATTTAAAAATGTGTGATTGAAGAATATTTATTTTAATATACCAGTTAAATTTCATTACAATCTTAATAGTATTAGACAACTTATTTAATTGATACTGTCGCTTTTAACTCAGAGCAATACTTCTCGTCAAGACTTAGGATGCGCGCCAAATCTATCCATACTTCTAGTGACATTGACAGCTGTCAGCTAGGGACGTGACGTTTATGCCGATAATCTAGAGTTGCGCCAATTCTATAGCACGGTACTAATTTTATTCCTAACAATAGTTACTTTGGCTCCTATACTATAAAAGTTGTAACGCACTATCGATCATCCCTAGCACACTTTATCCTGATCCTTTTTGTATTGCGATATTTTTGACAGCCTTAGTAATAATATTCGATTCGATGTACTTATTAAGACAAAAGCTATTTGATTTATTAAAATCGCGCTTTCAGCAATAATACTTAACTGCAGTGTCTTAATAAAACGTTGTGGTTAAATATAGTTATTCGTGTTGTTAAAAACTGAGGTTGTATCTAAGAGGCTGGTAAATATATGTATACTTTTGTAAAAATCTTCGTACCAGTTATTAAGTTTAGATATGTGAATATTCAAAATTCATTTTGAATCACTTGAATATTTTACCTATATTACATTCTGTATTGTTAATTCTGTAAATACCTATAAAGCTCTCATATACATAAATTCGTATTCCAAAAATGTTATATTTAATTATTTGGACACTAAATATTATAAAATTTTCTGTAAAAAAATCGTAAATCGTCAATGTTTTGTTCTGAGATTTACATACATCAAGCTATAGACTTGGGGTTATTATCCATTCAAAGACAATGTTTTTTTTGTTACGTCACTTAAATGCCAATAATTTCATCGCAACCTTTGCCTTTTTTATTTGCCTTATTTATGGTACGAAGAAAGCTTGAATTGGTTTAAAAAATACTCCTAGTTTAAGTCTATCAGACAGTCTGTTGTTCTTTGCTTAACGTTAATAAGAGCATCTTTTTACTTATAAGTAATTTACTTATAGAAAACTTTTTATAGTGTTAGGTTATATTTTTTTGTCACTCTGTTGGTCTAGATTGCATTTAATAGAACATAGATAACCCAAGATGCACAGATCTACCAAACACTGTGTTCATTTTAACGTATACCTAGATTATTATTTTTTAGTTACACGATTTAATTATTAAGCGAGTGTAGTGTGTAGTGTATAATTTTCATGAAATGGTTGTACAATTTTCTAGTTGTAATTATTACGTAGACAGTATTTGTTAATACCATTTTATTTGTATGATCAAAATAAATTTCAAAGACAAATTAGTGTGATTGGCCGTGCAATATATGATAATCGTGTTTAAAACGCGACATGGGATGGGAGTATTAATTTATAATGAATGTTATATTAAATCAAAGTATTATTATTAGAGTGGCACAACTCTCCCCGTGTGTTAAATTATATCTATGTTACGCTTAAAATACCTTTGTATATCTATGTGGTTTATGATTGTTGTTATAAATAAAATATACCTACTAGTCCTTGGCAAATATAAAGTTATTTCATTCAAAATTCCTGTTATCGACCATAATATACAGTATAACTAATTCCAAGTAAGAGTAACAGATAGGAAATAAACATCGACATATCAATCTAAAGATACTAGACAAATCTTTTCTCAAAGTTCCGTCTGCGCGGATTTAATACAACCGAGTACGTAGCATGACATGTTTAAATCTGTCTACATTCAGCGAAACTATCGCATTTATAACATAAGTATAACTAATTCCGGAGAGGTTTAAAGCATGCCTACTGTATTACGATTTAATAAATGGATTTCAATTAACTATAACAACATTTTTTCAGCGTAGTCAGTAGAGTTTTCTACTTTCTACGCCTGGGTCCTCCCTTGTTGGACTTGATGAGGTGGTTTTCGTGAGTAAAGTTGTACATAACCAGTCAACCTGTCATCTCCCCAGCAGACAAAGTATCTTTTGATGTAATTGTGGTTTGAGGAGACATGCCAACAAAAGAAAAGTAAATACGAAATTCGAATAAGAAAAAAATAGCAATTGTTGTTAAAGAAAAAATTGCTAGTGTTTAACTTACAGGCGCAAACTTTGAATTGAACATACAATGACACACATGATTACTGTTAGGTAGCTGTAATATAAGTTGAATTAGATATATGGCAACATAGTATATACAAATATGTCATCTATGTCCATTGTGCTACGCTGATCTAAAAATGTGATTTTAATAAATAACAGTTTACCATTAACCTTAGTATTCTTTAATGTGGATATACATTTAAATATTACAGTAGCTTTACCACTTAAATTCGATATTCTAAAACACCACTTAATATTGTTTGTATGACAAATTAGAAAATACTTTGTCTTTGGAAATGGTCGAAAAATTAATATTTATTGCCATTATTTAAAAAAAATGACAGTGACAAGTGACAACTGTTTGAATTCTGCAATATAGGTTATGTTTATTTTATAATTATTTAATCCTGACAAATAAATAATAACTACAACAGTTATTTAGCAAATATAACCATCATCTTTGAAGCTCACATACAAAATAAAATGAAAGCCCTCATACAGCGTGTTAAAAATGCTAAAGTAACCGGTAAGTAATTTCAGTAATAATGTTTCGTTAGTGGTTATTTATGTTAGTATATATGTGACTGAAAGCGAGTCGATAAAATAAAATTTCAGTAAATGATGAAGTAATAAGCAGTATAGAGCAAGGCGCTTGTATATTAATTGGGATCTGCAGTAGCGATACTATTAAGGACATGGAGTACATGTAAGTACAAATATGTTAATAATTAAGGAGAGAAATTCTATTTGCCAAGTCGTCAGAGAGTATGTGTATGTGGATATGCCTTTTTATAAATTTATGGCTCCTTAGCGTTTAATTTGGTAACACTTTTTCTTCATCTAATACATTTTCTTGTTACAGAGCTCGTAAGATATTAAGTATAAGGATATTTGATGATGAAAATCATAAAAGATGGCAGAAAAGTATTGTTGACAAACAGTTTGAAATTCTTTGTGTCAGTCAATTCACTCTATACAATACATGGAAGGTGGGTTTCTAATTTCCATATATACATCTTGTATTATTTTAACATGTTAAGATTGAATGTGGATGGCTAAAAAGGAAGAGGAAGACCGAAGAAAGTATGGATGGATTGTGTGAAAGAGGATATGCTTAAGAAAGGAGTGGATTCAGATATGACGGCAGCAGATACTGTGCCGACCCTCCATAAGGGATAAGGGACAAGGGCAAGTGGATGATGATGATCTGGTATTATTTTAAAATACAGTTAGATACTGTTTAGACAAACATGTGTTTTAACTCTGTTGTATGGACATAGACAATAATCAATTTTTGGTAATATCTAATATCAGCATGCAATAAAAGGAATGAATTGGTTTAAGTTGTAATGGTGAGGCCTCTTATTTATTTATATGGGTTTAAACATTGTGTTTAAAAAGATAGAAACTATTGTCTATGTATGAATTTGCTTCACTTTGCATCTTAGTATGAGCAGTATTAGTGAGGGTTTCCATTGTTGGAACATCCATTGAAAAAACAGCTATCTCAATATTTAAAGTTAATGAGTGGGATAGTATTATATTAATACAAGTTACATCAGTGGAAACCTTCAGTTATACAGATAACATTTTCTCTTCAGGGTAACAAGCCGGATTTTCACAAGGCGATGGCTGCTGACAGATCAAAGGAGTTCTATGAACAATTCATTCAAATGCTTAAGGATAAATATAAGCCAGATAAAGTTAAAGGTAACATTACAAATATATAACAAGAACAATATAACTCATGTCTGTAACACAAAGGAGTAGGCAGAGAACATGGACTTCCTTAACACCTTGTATCATGTTTTTATTATTATTTGTCACTGCATCTCAAATTGTGAATGCTGCCCAATTGTGGTCTAGGAAAATTGCATGTTAAATTTATTTACAGTGATGATTCTACAGTTTGGTAAGATGTTCATTTTATGCATAGAAATATTAACAATAAAGTTCATGTTTACAAAATATTGAATTATAATTGAAATAGGTTTTTAAACTAAAATTTCGTTGCACTGAGAATAATTGGTACAGAAAATTTGCTATCTTTGTTTGGTATCATACTAATATTACAAATGCGAAAGTCTAGATGGATGGATGGATGTTAGAGTACCTATATGAATGGATGATGAATTTTGGCATTGTTGTAGAGCATAGTCTGGAAGAGCTAATAGGCTACTTTTTTAAATACCATGTGGACGGTGTATCGGGCAAAAGCTAGTTTCTATAATTGAGTAAATTTTTTATTTTCAGATGGTCTATTTGGTGCATACATGCAAGTATCAATACAAAATGACGGTCCTGTCACATTGGAGATAGAGTCTCCAGCTCAGATACAAAACAAAACATCCAATAGTACAGATGCTGTAGAAAGAAAAGATGAAGTTTCTAATAGGTAATCATACTTCATACTATTATAAACTAGCTTTGGCCCGTGACTCCGTCTGCGTGGAATTAAAAAAACACAAAAGTGAGTAGCCTATGTGTTCTTCTAGACTATGTTCTACATCTATGCCAAATTTCTTCCAGATCCGTTTAGCCGTTTAGACTACAAACTCTAACAAACATCCATCCATCTAGACTTTCGCATTTATAATATTAGTATGATGTGAAAATTTAGATGGATGGATGTTTGTTAGAGTTTGTAGCATAAATGGCTTAACAGATTTCTATCGAAATTTTATCAATTTTATCAAATTTGGTATAGTCTGGAAGAACACAAAGGCTACTTAATTTTCTATTTTTTAAATTAGGACGGAGTCGCGGGCGAAAGCTAGTTAGTAAATACTTAAGTATTTTTTAACTTAAATTTATTTATAAGAGATGTAATTGGAATTTTTATAGCAATTATTGTTTTTGTTTCCGTGCGGCTTCATCTGCATGAAATTATAAAAAAAAAAACATTGTTTATTTGTAAAACTTTCAACTGTAAATATCAAAATTCAAAAGCACAAATGACAATGAATTCAAAAAATACCGTTACCATGGTAATATTTTTGTTATTGTAGTTTTTGTTCCTTTCATTACATATTTTCCAATTTTTTCACCCCTAAATTAACTAGTGTGAAAATACACACCTATAGTCTGTCAAGTGTAGGAGTTCTTATAAAAGGAAGGTATTTCAAAAATATGCTGCGATTACAACATTGTTGTTATTTAATCTAATAAAAATTAAGTAATGATGTAAATGAGAAACAATGCTTAGTTAACAATGAGAAATCATGAAAGCATTGTGTTTGTTTGTAATTATCGTTATGTTGTTTTTCAACAATTATAGTAATTTATACTTTCACAAACATGATCCCTAATGTTATCCCTACTTTATATTTGTAACATATAAATAGAATTGTATTCAATTGTAAGACAGTATTCTAAACATCGATATTGTTAAGTCGTAGTCTATTTGTGATAAATATCTAAAAGATTAATTGTTAACAATATTACTAAAAGTCAGTCATCACCAGTTCACTAAACGTCCCCACTGAGGTTCGGAGCCTACCCTAAGTTAGGGTGACCAGGCCGTAGTCAGTGAAGTCAGTGAAATCTTCAAATTATTTCGTGTGCAACAAAAATCTTCAGAAAAGAATACCGATAAAATCCTTAAAGATTTGTGTTAATGTTTAAATACGTATCCAGTTCTTGAAGACAAGAACAAAGTTTTATAGAAAAGTTAATCAAAAGCAGAATATGGAATCCGTAAACACATCTCCTAACGTGTGTGTACTGAACGTTTGTGAAGAATCTATTAGGGAAAAGAAAAAAGCATCTTCTCTCATCTGCTGGTGTTCAGCTTTTATAAAATTATTTAATAAAATTAAATCAAAAGGTAATGATATTGCTGACGACAGCTTGGAAACTATACAGTTGCGTGTTATAAAATAAAGGGTTTCGTTGCTTATATTGTTTTTAGATAAAAAAACTATCAGCCTTAGAAATAAACGCGGTATAAAGTTAAACTTAGGAATAAACTGAGTATAAAAATTTGTACTATTCGCTTATACTCAGTTTATTCCTAAGTTTAACTTAATACCGCGTTTATTTCTAAGGCTGTATATGTAATACAATTTGATTTATTTGCTAAAATTAAGGATTCGATGGTTACAAACACGCCTTTAGCGTCTACTCAAGTATGACTTCAACTCAAAGTGTATTTGTTTTTAAAATGTATTACTGTCTTGGTTTCTATTGTTGAAACTTTTGTATAAAATTGTAATGTATAGATTTTTAGAAAAGTTTTTAACAATTAAAGTTTTATTTATTTGAACAATGGTATTTTTTGGTTCCTTCAAATGGTAAATAGGTGAAATAAAAAGCACAATTAAAAAAAAAACTTTATTTTGAAATAATGGTTATTATCTATTAACAGTTAACTTTAGGCCAGTGATTATGCATGAGACAGAGTGGTCACGGCCTACGCTACGCCTAAATTTATCCAAACACGAGAATTTATCCATAAAACCTATTTCCTATGGTCCACCCGTTAACAGATAATCGACCAAGAATTCAAATCCGTTTTTACATTCCTACATTAGTAGAAAATAAAATAAAAAAGTATAAACAGACATAAATGCAATCTAATATAAACCATCTATTTTAAATATTACGATATAGAATTTAACAAACGAGAGATTAAAATAAAGTTTTATAAATAGTGTCGACTTATAAAGTTAATCGAAGATTATCATTTAGCTGTTAGTGCCGCATGATTACTATTTCTATACGGTGTTATATAGACAATATAATCACTCCTACGTTTACACAAATGCCTACGACACGAGACAATTCTTATAGAAGTTGTCGACTCTCCAACAGCTGTGAAGGCACTCTACCTTTTGGTATATTGCTGATAGGATATCCTCACTCCTCGCAGTATCATCGCGTAAACATATCAAGTGCAAGATTACAATAGTCCTTAGATTTAGTCCGACAGGCTCACTACGAATCTATCGTCTCGTTACAACTATCCAAATATTACTATTATAAAAATATCTATAAACTATGCTAAATCGAGTGAAATGTTACTGGGACAGGCTAAGGATAAACGACAGATACCCTTTCGGTTATGGACGTTCGTGCTTCGACGACGCTGGAATTTTGTTAAAAGTTAGTAGACGTGAAATTAATACGCTCGCCGCAATTATTCGATATGTGAACGTATCGGCGGTTGATGTTCGTTGGTGGTGAGTGATGATCAATCGTGGTCGGTGGTGAGAGGTGGTCTACCAAAGGCCGGAGGAGTACCCGCCGGGCGGCACGCGATTGTGGATCAGGTTGTTTCTGCCGTTAATTGACGTCACGGTGTTAATCTGGCCGTTTAAAGATTTGTAGCCGTCGCCGGTGATGGGGTTGCCCTCTGAAAACATTTAAATATACAATTAATCAAGTCCTCAAGTCAATCATAATAGTGTGCTGAATTCCAAAAGAATGTTTCTAAATAATTAAATTTAAGGCGAATATTAATTATTGAAGTATCTAATCCTCTTGCATTTTTACTCTATAATCTAAGTTAGAACCAAAATTTGAATTAAAATTCTATTTAATAAATAAATCTAATTTTTCATGAATGGCAATTACAATAACTCTACATGCATATTACATGAAATCTTAAATTATAGGACATAATTTAATTACACAAATTACCTTAAAATACTACTTTACCATACCACTTACACTAACTACATAAAAGGGCAACAATACATAGAGCAGAAAGAAAGAGAAGAAAAGGCGTGCCGAGTACAAGAAATGTTTTACAACAAGGTTTACAAATATATTGTAAAATAACATACAAAGTTACTACTACAACAAAAAGCAAACTTTACGGCAGGTTTCCACTGACAAAACTTTACAAATTTTACACTACATGTTAAGTCTGAAATCACTATAATAAGAAAATATTGAAATGAGGTGCCGTGAAAACCTACTGTTATTTATACCAAATAGGTTGCTGACAAATAACAAGCCCATTTTGGCAATAATTACAATTTTTAAATGTGAACCATACATATTTATAAAACCAAAAAGTCGTCAAAAAGGGCCTGATATGACGGATAACATCTATCAATTACAATGTACTAACATTTAATTTATAAAAAATAATTTAATTCTAATTTGCTCTAATTGTAAAAAAAGCAAATAACAAAAGGGTAAAAAGTGCTTAATTCAGTGACTTGAAGGTATCGATTTTATTTAATCTGGCAAAAAATATTTCCAATATACACAATATTGAGAGCAAATACAAGCTAACGTTGCTTATAAAATAGTGCAAAAGTGTTAATCCTTCAGTCAAAATTAAACACCCACCCAGTTCTCTTTGGCTGACATAATCTACATAGTACGTCTTAGGTTCGGAATCTTCTACATGCCGATTCAAATTAAACAGGTATCCTGGTACGTGCTTAGGGAAAATGGGAGGAAAACCTGTCAGCGTAAAGGGTCCGGGGGCTTTAGGAGTATCTAGTAATGTGAAGTCGGGTATGGGAGCATCTCTCTCATATCTAAAAAGGCTGGTTGGAGGATTCGTGTTTGCAGCGACATATGGATCAATAGGTCCATCTAGAGTCGGTATTGGGTTGTATTTGTAATCGGGTTGAGGTTTATTCCCTAAAGCTGAAGTCATTCCGACGAATGAATGAAGAGGCAATGGGTGATATGGAATGTGATGATGTTTAGGTTCGAGATAATGTTGTGCGGGAAAGGGAGGCCAATGTCTGTCTATAATCGGTTGAGGTGAAAGCGAGTCAGGGTCAATTAATGGATGAATTTTATCGGGATCATCTGTACCTAGACCTAATAAAATGCGAGGAGATTGGTAACATATCGGTCTAGGTTTTGTGGTCGATTCAACATAATATTGGCCCGGCTCTGGTGGCCAACATCGGGTGAAGTATCGGTGAGTGGGTTGTGGATTAAGGAGGTTTAGGTCCAGGTCTATGTCTGGGTGTAGGTCGGGCATAAGGTTAACGTCGGCACCTCGCAGGCCGGCGGCTGGGTGGCGCCGGCGCGGCGGCGGCACTGGGATCCCATCGCCGGTCACTGGATTCCTCTTCGGTGGCGTGTACGTAGCTGACCATTCACAGAACAGACGGTTTTCATTCAAATCACTCGCTGACGATTAGGATCAATGTTTCCGGCTTATTCCACGTCACGTTGGTGTCGAAACATTGATCTTATTCGTTCACAATATTCTGTCTAATCCTAAGTTTAGTTATTTAATTAGTTAGTTATCACTTCGTGCTGCAGTCGCATTCTTAAATATTAGGTATAGTTTCCAAGTCCTCATTTTTTGCTGTTCATGCTTAGATTAGCAATAATATTATCGTTATAAATAAGTCCGTGCCTGATCATGATCATAGCTGATGCTGATCAAGTATAATGATTCGTATATTGTTATTTAGAAGAAAGTATCGGAGCGTAAATCATTAAGATAAGAAGCATATCCTAGCGTGCAGAGTGCCAAATGATATGTGTTCTGGCACGCGATTCGAGCACCGCTATACCGTGTACAGAACTCTTTTATTACGTATTCAAAGTCATGTTTCCGAGTTCTGTTCACAGTTTTAACAGTTCTAATGTGGAACGGAATTGCAAAGATTTGTTGCATTTAATTTAGATTTTAACGTGATTTTTAGTGTCCAGAAAAATTTCAAATACCGTAGCGAATTTAGAGATTTTTTACATTTCTTTATTCCTTAACGGTTTCATTTTAAAGCTTTTAAGACTGTTCTTGATTGTAAGAATTCATTCACGAATATTTGATCAAACACTTCTATTCCACATTGTAACGGTCGTATGTGAGGCATTCGTTACGCGTGTTGTGCCTACGCGTGCGCAGTTCGTGCCTACACAGGGAACGACTCACAGTGGTCGGCGGGCTCCGTCTCACCTCGGCTGGGTGTGGAGTTGGCGCTGCCGTTGGCGAGCTTGGCGGGCGAGTGCGCCGCGCTGCCGTTTACCTCCGCGTCGCCGAACTGGATGTGGCTACGGATCGTGTCCGTCACCATTGGGGCGGGGGAATTGGCGTTACCCTGAAAAGATTTATAGTCCATTTCTTTATAAAACATACAGTTTGTACTAAAATTATTGTCTACACATTCAATTGAATGCAATTTAGAAATACTTTTCTGTAAGGACAAGTCGAATGAGGATAAGCAGATGATCCTGTGTGCCTATCTACGCACCACATTGGATAGAACATAAAAATATCTTTTCTTTAGTCTTTGTACTAAGTATATGTGAAGGTACCTGTCCAAAAAGTCTTGAGTGCGTATCCCGTGGACGGGTGGGTGTGTCGCGCTGTACGCGTGGCCGGCCGCCACCGTTCTTAACGGGGCTTCCGTCGGGGCTGTCGCTGCTGAAGATCTCTGCGATGCAGCTCTTCGGGGCGTTGGGAACTCTGCAACGATGCAAATACATATTGTTAGTTAGATATTTATTGTTTCAAGACAACGGCAGGGAGTTTCTCGACTCGAAACTCCGGGAAAGCTCATATTGTTGAAGCTCTTTTTCCAGCAGTAGATCATTATAATATATGGATAGTGAGGTAAATATTTCTACACATCAGAAAAAGTTAGCTTATGTATTACAAATGTCTTGATATGTCAGACGTGGTTTTAGTTATTTGACATCCAGGAAATCGTTTACTAGTAGTAAAGCCATAAAAATTAAAAGCCCTTGTTATTCAATACACATTATCATTTCTAATTGGAAATGTGCTCAACGAACGTATCCCCTTGCAAAGACCGGACATTACCTGCCGGCGGGAGGGACGGCCACTTCCGGTGGGGGAAGGGTCAGCAAATATCAATCGATACCCAAATACAAACCTCAAATAGCTCATAAAACATGACGTGGTATTCCTACAACGGTCATTGACCCTGAAAATTCTGTTCACGGAACGGGATCGCAGCCAAGTCTACAAACTTTAGTATGAATCACCTGACAAAGCATTGCACTATGCGTTTTAGAGGCTTTACTCTTTTCCTATCCTAAGATTACACTGTGATAGAATATTAAAACAATATATTACATAAGATACAATATTAATTCCTGTATGCAAATATAAATATGCATTTTTAATTAAAAATAAAGATCGTGAACCAGTAATTTCTCACCATGGATAACAAATCAGAGCGCCTTGTAAATCCAACAAGCCGTACACGAAGTGAAGATTGTGTCGTGATTTAGAAAAGCTATGTTTGATTGGCGAGAAATTTTATCGCGATATTATACGCGGCGCTAACCCGCCGTCTTGCAGAGATGCTAATGCAGGTGGACGCCAAGATGTAATAAATATAAGATCACGACAAGATAACGTGTGACTTAACAAATTTTAAATCGTCATTAAATAAGAGATTGTCAACCGAAATCCTTATATTTACATCCATTTAATACAGATATAACTTTGATTGGCATTCAAAAGCATTCCTCAATGACAGCGATCACGTTTCTTATAGAACTATGAACGTAAGCTTACAGATGCTTAGTTCTTGCAGTTTTCAGGCCTGTTCACTAAAAATTGTGCGTGTGTAGACAACATTTTAACTGTTAGTAAGTAGTTAAGAGTAGTATGTAGCGGGCTTCCTATCAAGCTGAAAACGGCAACGTGTCTGTCGAAGTCGTCACATAGTAAATAAATCCTGTAGACGATGTGCAAACAATAAACGGTGCGACAAAAGCATCACTCGAGGGTCCGCAACGCAGATGTGCCGCGACGCTGCTGCCGCCGTGCCGGGGCAATCGATACCACGCCAGTGCGCCAGTGCGCCCGCCCGGCTACGAGTTTTGTTCACTGCTTACTGCTGAATCGAATCACCCGTTGCCGTTTGTCATTTTAATACGCTCTTTGGTTGTTGTGTAAACTACATGCAATGAGTGAGTGAGTTCCCACCACATCAACTTAAACATTTAAAACATTTTTTATGAATTCATGCTTCTTTATTTCTATTCCTATGCATAACATTGTTAGAACCTCCATCCACATCCAGTATATCACTTTGCCTTCTCAATACGCCTAAAAATTTATATTCATAAGTCTAGTTTATTTGTTTAAATAAATCACTAACATTTACTACACGAGCTTATTTACAAACTCGACTTATATAAATCAAGTCATTAGATAATTTGATATAATTCAAATTGGCATAAATAGTCACGCGACTGTAAATATTTATGAGGACGGTCCATTACCACTGGTAATGGTAAAACGCATAATTAATGTTGACAGAAGCGAACGTTAAATAAATGTTTATAGATAGTCTTTTGTTAGCAGGTCTTGTAAAAATCTTACTATTAAAATGATTTTGAAGCACAGTCTTTTTAAAAGCAGTTTGAAGCTATCATTGTGACTTAGTTATATCAAGAACAAGATATGTTAATAAGAAATAGAATTAGTTATCCATTATTGCTATCTAGTAGTAACTAACCTAACAGAGCATGTTAGCTATAAAGTAGAGGGGCGACAGTACACTAGCGTTGACTCGCCCGGAGCAAAAACAAAGCAAAATTTATGCATGACTTATCTGTATGGACAGTAACATAAACAGAGATGCAATTACCATTGATAACAACAGATAGCATGTATTTAAATTGCGTATAAATTACTACAAATAGCTGTTTGGTCGAAATTGGTTACATCACGAGCATGAAGAAGCTTTTACATTATTTGCGTTTATTAGAGCTTTTATAATTTATTTTTATACTAAAAATATCAGTTACAGTTATTAAGTTTCCCTTACTAATATAACCCACAATAAATGACTTTAAGTTGCAGAATTATGAAAAGAAAAATTATAAGATCAGCTAACACGATGTTACATGTGCGACTATAAAAATAAATCCTATATGTGAAATAATGGTAACTAATACTGAGTATTGTGCTAATGCGTACAAAAGTGCTGGAGACGAAACATAAATGCTAAACGTTTTTATAAATGAAAAATGTCTAGCCGCAATCCAACACCGTGTACGTGCCAACGAGGTCAATGTAGGCGAGCACGCTACCCTACAAAAAGCCTATTCACTCTTGCCTAGAAGCCTCTCGTAGTTGCTCTTTTGGCAAGGATTTTTACATTGAGGGCATGAAACATTTTCGATTAATGTTTCATAATTTAAAAATCTATATACAGGTGATAAAAGTATTCAAAATATGTTTCTGTGGCAAGTTCACAAACTAACTTGCTACGAGAACTTATTTAATTCAAAAACATTTTTTCTTACTGTTATCAATACATAATTACCACGTTATCATTATTAAAACAAAACATTCCATCGGAAACTCTAATCAAATGTTTATAAACAAAGAATATAACGTTAGGAAAACGTCAGTTGGGAATGCCCAAGGCGTCAATATACAATTACCCGTCATCAATGCTACCGCACAATCAGCCGACTACCGGTGCATGATAACACTGCTCGATTGAAAACCACGCGGTACACGATAACAGTCAATTCTAACTAATGTATCGATTACTCCTACATTGGAAAACGCTACAGCTATTTCAAGTCGTTCAACGTGCGTACCGTTTCAACTAGTCGAAGTAACGTATTGTAATAGCACATAAATAATAATTATAAATGTATAAACATGCAATATAGACTAAAAGCTGCTATTATGGTATAGGAGAAAAGTGCGTGAGAGCAAATAATTGCTTTGTGCGCACAACAGGCGCTGCGCGCACGCAATGAGGTTAAATATGGCGGTCATTATATGGAGCCTATTAAGATTTCCGAAGTAACTCTTCTAGCAAGAAAAATATGTTTTATTAATATCGAGTATTTTTGTGCTTTTTCTTATCTTCTAAAATCTTTATCGTAAGTTCCAGCTTTCAATAAATATTATTAACGGCCTGTTATAATCTGTCCTGATAATTCGCGCGGAAAACTGCCACAGATTATAAACATCCTAGTCGTTTTCAGTCGCATGTTTGCCGACGTACAACTTGATTATTAATTGAGTGTAAGAATATTGAAATCTTGTTTGTCGTTTCTGTAATACTACATTAAATCAAGACCTAAGTGAAGTTTTCATAGTAGAATTATTCCATGGGAAGGATTATTAACGGATTTTATACAATCTCAAATATCTTCCATCTAACCTCTTTCGTAAATTTCCTTTCCTATTATAACATTACTCAAGTCCGAAATTAACATTTTGCTTCAAATATTTCTAACAATGAAACGCGAAGAGCGTACAAAGCTTTCATTTTGAATAGCTGCACGCTTCACTATCTCTAAGAGTAAAAAAAAAACTACAAATTGGATAAAATTACACATTCACGGCGCTCAAATTACCATCGCGAGACTTCTTGCTTCCTCTCTCCGCTGTTTTCATTCCAACCTTCAAACCTTCGTTACAATCATAATTATATCAGAACATCCGTTCCTGTAATAACTACACAAAAAGACATATGCAATTCTATTGTTTTATAGAAAATAGTATCGTAAATCGTAGAGAATACAGTTCTAATTTGAACACAACGCATAACAAAAAGTAAAGTTACACTTGTGCGTCCGACTGTACAAATATTTTGAGATTTCAACACTCACTTGCGTGTTCTTTTTCTTTCACGATCTGTTGGATAAGAAAATGGTGGATATGTTTTTTTTATCGTTAGCTAATGATAATGTTGTGCATTTAATGTAGGTAATCATGTTGTGTTTAATCTTTAGAAACAAGTACATTGGACTTATTATTCGCTTAAGCTTATGTTTGAAAGAATACTTTTACTTCTTATGAAGCCTAATCAAGATTAAAATTTGCATAGAAGATTACAATCCAATAAATGATTCTCCTGTCATTATTTGATCCGTTGACACTTATTCTGACATTTCCATTCGTCACTGTCACTGTCAACATTTTTTTTTTGTGACTGAATGGCCACTGTTGTTTGCCTTGAAGAGGCATTTACAGATTCACCAGGCTTCAGGTGGCCGAGCGCAGGTGGTGTTTGGTCTAAACCTCGTTTATGAGTAAATAAGCTCGAGGGCTCCCTCAGGAGCCTCGACACGAGCCGTTACTTCGTTATTATTACCGGATTGGACTGTCAACGTCTAATCTTCTATTACCACGACTACCACATCAGTTAATATAATTTCATATTAAAATATGCCATAGAACTGATAAGATTGATCCGTCAACTCACGTCAAAATCAAGTAAAACAACCTTTATCATCTAATGAAAATATGAAAATTGTAATTATAATAAAGCCACTGTTATACCGTAATATAGTTGTTCTTATTATGGTTTAGTAACTTTTGCTCGCGACTCCGTCTGCGTGGAATTTAAAAAAAAAACTAAACTAGGTAGCCTATGAGTTCTTCCAGACTATACTCTACATCTATGCCAAATTTCATCTACATCCGTTTAACAGTTTAGGATATAAACTCTAACAAAC